AACTAATTTTGTGTTACTTAAGTGCCTATTTAAATGTCCTCTGGATTGGTGATGTGTAGCTGCAAAATAAAACTATATTTTCCAGCTTTGAAGGTTCCATTTTTCCTACAAAACGTAAAAGTTGTATTATTTAATGAGATGCCTTGAAATAATGAAGTAAAATGCAAGTTCTTCAGTAATGTGCTCCTTAGAAAAATATATATGAGTTCATAAACTTGTACTGGCTTTAACAAATAGACTATCAACAGAGCTAATGCCTTGCCTGATTTTTTATTTACAACAGTTACTGTAATTAAAAATGTCTGTCTTCAAAAGTGAGAGTAAACTATATTGTTATAGTCAAGTATAGAATGCAAGATTTTAATGGGAAACGTGTCTCACATTTTTCTTCAGGAACAAAGCCAGTTAAAAGTACAATTCCCCTTCTCATCCCTTAAACCTGAAATTCTTCAAACTTGTCCAGTAGATGGCACAAGCTGCTTATAAAAATAGTCACTGAGTATCCACAAAGTAGATTTAAAAAAAAAAAATCATCTTATATGGAATTTTAATAATTTAGAGTAGCTATTGTCCATGGGGGTGGGGGAATTATTTTTAAGAACAGTAAAATAAAAGATTAAAAGTGGGGAAACCTGCATTCTATTTCTACCTGGAAGGCAGACAGTTGATTTTGAGCTATTCATTCTTTCTCTACCCTAGGAAAGAGGCAAGAGAAAAACCACTCCTGAAAAATGGTGTAAAGAAAATTGCAGGCTCTTGTTTGTGTAGTTGCCAGGAACCAAGACTGACTTGAAAAGCACATACTTATTACTTATTTCTGCTGAGGAATGTATTTCCTGTGAGTTTTCCAGGAGAGGTTTCTTCCTTTGACCTTCTATCTCTCCCTTTTGCTCAATGTACTTTCCAAAGAAAGGACACTTCTTGACAGAGGTCTGAATTATTTGCAGAGAGATCTGGTAGGCGAAATTAATTAACAGAACTTCTTTGCAGTCTTAACCTAGAAATGTTTTAGATGGTCAGCATGCAACATGAACACTTCTGTCTCTTTACAGCCTTTTCCCAAACTATTTTGATACAGATGAAGCTATCCTATACTGTGCTGGGCCATCAGTCTTAACCTGAAATGTATCTAACCTGACTGCTGCTAGCTTTCCAAGATTTCATGAGTCTTGGTGGCCCAGTGGTTAGAATGCAGTATTGCAGGCAAACTCTGCCCACAGCCAGGAGCTCGATCCCGACGAGCTAAAGGTTGACCTTTCCAAGGTCGGTAAAATGAGGACCCAGATTGTTGGGGGCAATATGCTGACTTTGTAAACCACTCAGAGTGTGCTGTAAAGCACCATGGAGTGGTATATAAGTCTAAATGCTACTATTGCTATTTTAAGCAATCGTTTTATTCCCTGCCTTATCACTCAAAGATACTGGTCAACAGTCTGGAAATTTATCATTCAAAGTACGTGTCTACTGGGCACAAATGGTCCCTGGAAATTCTCCACCAAATTTATGAGGAACAATAACTTTCAAGAATTCCTCAAGGACGTAATTCCTCTTTAGCAATAACAGCAGGGCTGCTGCCAAAAATTAATAAAAAAAAAAAAAAAACCACCTCAACGGGAGGACACTTTACATGATATCTTCCATTAGGATTACATTAGAGCATGGGAAGCCAAAAAGGTCGGCTGCTTCAGAGGGGATTGTAGAATGAAAAGAAAGCTATTTGCACATTCACTGTGCCCTCTTCACTAAAGTACAGGATCAACAAATGCTACCTCTGGAATTTTTTTTTCCAGATGGTTGGTTGAGTAGTCACTCCATTAGGTGGAAAGAGTTTGCAAATACATTCACATTAATGAAAGCCTTATGGCTATCCGAATTGCATATACCCAGCCATAATGATGCTGCACGCCCTTTGCATTTCTCTCTGTTTTTAATTTGAAGCAGCAGGGAGACTGCCCCATGTGTTAGAAATGGCTGATAGAAGTTACAAAATCAATTCTTCATTTTCACCATAAAAACATATGGACCCTAACTAGCCTTTAGGTGACGAGAACTCTGTACCAAAAACAACAACAACAACAACAACCGTAGAATGATAAGGTTCTCTGCTACTATGACATAAGAATGAATACTGGCATATGGAATGCAGGATGCTGCCATATCACCCACCTAATGCTGTGACTATTAGGACATCATTTTCATAACAGGTAATAATTCAAAGTCTCCTTCACTGAAATTTCAGATTTAATGTGAAATCCTGGAGATTTTCCTTAGGTTTGTTTTTGTTGACTATTCCTTTCCAACTTGTGACCCCTGTGTGTGTGAATGCCCTCCTCTTGCTTAATCTTCTAAAACCACACAGCTGAAAATGCAACTCTCCCTGGTCTTGTTATAGAAGCTGGAAAGAAACAGATGATCCCAAGGGATTCATTGTGTCTGCTGGTTATTCTGTTATGTTCCTTATTGGTATCAGTTCTGTGATTAATTATTTAGCGTATGGCAATGTTACAATTAGCCAGGAGACTACAGTGTTAATACAAAGTACCGTAGTTCTTTGGCTGCCGAAGAGTCCTCGTCTGTTTAGTTTGCGCTTGCACGCTATCCCAGAGTGCACCACAGGGGGCAAACTAGTTCCGCACCAGAAAGACGAGCAGCATCCTGAGGCATCATCTGGGGCCTTCTTCCACCACCAATGTTGCCTCGCACTGGGGCATCGTATCTGGGCAGGTCCAGCACCAGTAGAGTCCCACCGCCGCATTTCCACTGAAGTGGTACCTATTTATCTACTTGCATGTATGATGCTTTCGAACTGCTAGATGGGCAGAAACTGAGGCAAGTGATGAGAACTCACTCCACCACTCAAACTGCTAGAGCAAAAGCCGTCTCCGACGTCTTTAAGTTACTGAGTCACCATGATTCTTAGTTCTGTGTTAGTCCATACTGATGACTGAAACATTTAAAGTTCCCTCACTTCGTCCTTTTCAGCAGATTTGATCTTAGAACAAATTCATCTGAAGTTTCTTTCTAGCATTGTTTATCCTCTCCACGGCATTGTAAAGGGGTATCCAAGCAACTGCTTTTGGAATGTGATGCAAGACATTTAAAGTGAGTTGTGCTCAGTTTATAGATAGTTATCCTAAAGTGTCTTTGGGCACCATGAATGATCTGTTTCTACTTCTATTTCCTGCACATGCACACACTTGCCACTATTTGCTGTATGAGTTTGGTCCAGTGAGCTGCGCATACAGATGATCATATACTCTCTTTATTTTCACATCAAGTCAGTGAAAATGTTTCCTCCAGGAGAATTTAAAAAAAAAAAAAAAGCATTCAAATAGGGAAAAAGTCCCATGACATGGAAAAAAAATGATTGGCCTAGGTTCTCAGAGCTTAGGTCTTCTAGTGCAGCAGTGCCCAACCTTTTGGGCACCAGGGACCAGTTCTGTAAGGGAGAGATTTTTTCACAGACTGGAAGGGGAATGATTTTGTGTGCTGCCTGTATCCTGCAGATGGGGCTTCGCTTGTTTGTGTGAGCCGATTGCTGGCATGCTGTGGACTGGTGCCAATCCATGGACCAGAGATTGGGGACCCCTGGTTTATAGAGAACATATGGTCACATGTGGGTTCTTTACAAATGCTAGACAAAATGAGCCCTAATCACAGAGCAGAAATTTCTGGGTGGGGGACTGGATTTATTTAGCATTTCACTCCTGAGGTGATCAACTCTAGTCTGCCGTAGAAACCCAACTGACATAAAGCTTAGACTGACAGGTTATTAGTTCCAGTTGAAAATATACTTTCTAATTAAGAAAATTATTTTTAGTTTCTATTTTTTAATTAAATCAATGGTAATTTATCTGTCATACTTAAACGTGGACTTTCTTGGTACTTCTTACTGATGAGCACAAAGGCAATTAAAAGAAAAAGGGCTGCTTTTGGTAAGCAGAGTTAAGGCCTTTCTAATGCCGCATTTTATTTATTGGAGATACTTCCTTTTTTAACCATTGCATATCTTCTTTTTCAAGCTCCTTGCTCAAGCATCAGACTCCAAGCTTTACCACAATCAGTTTTGTCTAAGATGTTTCTACAAGCCTGGGTAATGCCCATTAGATCAGAGGTCTTCAAACTTGGCAGCTTTAAGACTGGCTGGAGAATTCTGGGAGTTGAAGTCCACAAGTCTTAAAGCTGCCAAGTTTGAAGACCTCTGCATTAGATAGTAGCAAAGACATGCTGAACAATCATAACTCTCTGCTGCCACCTCATGGTCACCTGGATTTTTGCCATCCAGATCTGGTAACCAAGAGTGCAAGAGTGTAAAAGTCAGCACTTGTTAGAAAACACAACAGCATTGCTGATTGTTTTGACTGAATTAACATTATTATATTGTGCTGGGGACAGAACAACAAACTGTATATGAAAAGGCCTTGGCTTTACTCTATACGATAAATTACAATAAATCTTGGTCTGAACTTTATGTTAGTTTAGATGGAGTATGGATGCTTTTGCCTAAGCTGTGAGATCTTTGCATCTGTCCAGAACACATACCCTTCAGTTATGACATTATTCTTTTCCTAAGTCCTTCTTATACTCAATTTTTAGTAAATCTTTACTGACTCACTCCTTCTTTCTACCACTTAAAAATATTTTCTACTCTGTTTTTTTATCTTTTTAAAAACTTCATTATTGTAGTTTGGCTAATGCTAAGTCTCTGAACAGGAGCTGAATTCCATGCAGCTCCCAAAATGGTATGTTTTGAAGACATAGGATGGAGCAATCTGGTTGATGCAAAGTAATCTGGACATGCCCATTATGGAAGGAAGACCATTTGGGGAATTTTCTTTATGCTCTGTTGAATTCTTTATACTGAAGATAGGATATTAAGGAGTGAATACATTTTGAAAGAGACAGATTAGCACATCATTCACTTATCAAATGATATGTTAGTCCTAAAGGTAACAGCACAGAAATATTTCTTATATATTGTTCTCCTTATTTAGATGTTGTTACATCAATGATGACATGAATGAACTGGTGACATGAACGACCAAAAGTCTGACACAAAAAGTAGCCCCAAAATTGATCAAAAGGATGAACATAAATCTGACCATAAGAATGATCTTAAGAGTGAACCGAAATCTGAACCAAAAACTGAACCAAAAACTGAACCGAAGTCTGAACAGAAAGCTGAACAGAAAGCTGAACAAAAAGATGAGCCAAAAGATGAGCAAAAGACAGAGGAACATAAAAATCTTGATTTTGAGCAAATGAAAGCCAAGGCCCCAAAGCTTTTGGCTGATATGGTACACATGCTTATCGCATGGCAGAAAATGGGCTTCCATGTGCCACGAGGTGTCAGGAACATATTTGAGTTTACCTGGGATGAGCTCATAGAGATAGCACCAAGAAAATCTTTCACTGGTTTATATTGTCCAGTTGTCAAATTCCTCCCCTATGACGAGGCTGAGCTGGCCTCAACTATATCAAGAATTCAAAAGGTGGGTGCTACACCCTCAGCGAGAAGAGCTAATTATGTGGTTTCACTTGAAAGCCAGCCGATGCTCATGAAATTCCAAAAGCGGTCCATACATCTCCTGACAGAACTTCTGAAGTTAAAGATGAAGATAATGATTGATGCCGTTGCTGGTGAGACCCCTTAGTTAAGAGTTTGTTTGTCTGCCATAACCTATGGAATTCTATCTGGAGGACTTGAACCTATTCAGCCAAAAGGCTTTGGTATATGTGGGAAGACTAAATGCAATGCATCAAGTGTGTTTAGTTCCATGCAGTTAGAAGGGAAATAAGAGCTGTTAATGACAAGGAATTCTGCTAAAACACCCCAAAACATGAATTATACATATATATTTGGCTGCTTGTGATATGTTCATTGCATATAGGGAGGAGGAAACTCCCAATAGGATTCATGTTGAAGGAGCTAGTTCAGATCAGTGGTGAAATCCTGCCGGTTTTGTCTGGCTCGCGTGAGCCAGT